TATACGCGAACGACTTCAGTTCTCCAACAAAAATGACTTCTGCAGCTTCTGCGATCGAAAAATTAAAAGGAACATGGGACTATGTTAATGGTGAGAATTTCGATGAATACTTAAAGGAAATGGGTAAGACAGTGGAGATGAATAGTTGTAGTTATCTAATCAAATATTTCACTGTTAACTTTCAGGTATTTCATGGGTAATACGTCAAGCTGCAAAAGCTGTAAAGGCCGAAAAAATGATTATTATTTTCAATGATAATAATCGATGGACATTGAAATCGGAATCAACATTTAAAAATACAGTTTATGAGTTCACGCCGGGTGTTGAATTTGATGAAACACGTGCCGATGGGGCAGTAGTTAAAGTAAGTGTGAAATTCTAGCATCACGAAAGATCTTTTCCCGGTTATAGGAAGTTTTTTTCAATGAGACTACCATCACTAGAGAAACCCCATTAAGACCAAATATTTCATAGAATGATCTTTTCTCATCTCTATAAAAATGTAAGTTTTGTTAAAGATCTATTATTGCATGAAGAAACCATCCATTTTGGCTGAAACTGTCACCATATCCTAGTAGTTATGAGACCTAATTAGTCGAAACTAATATTCGTCGTGGATCTAATTGTCTTCATCTAGAATTCGAGACACTTCGGATAAGTGGACAAAAGATCGTCTCTTAGCAACCTTCAGCGTCAACTCCCATATTTTGGACTAATCTTACAAAAACATCACAGAAGATCTTCAATAAGTTTAGATCTGTCAAGATCATCTAACATTCTAGACGTAGCCTAGTCGTGATAAGACTTTTGTAATGAGAGAACTCTCATATCAGACGCTCGTTGTAACCTGAAAAAGTTCTCTCGTTAGCTCTTGTACTTTGATTACCTTATAGAAAAGTATGCCTCTATTCATAATGACTTTTTTCTTTCAAGTCAATAATCACATTCGACAATAACACTGGTCGCTGGATTCATGAGGCAATTGATAAACAAGGAAAGCAAGTACATATTGAACGTTATGTTGATGATAAAGATCAACAACAAGTTGTAAGTTTATGTGATAAATAATCTTATAGTTGAAAGTATTAGACATTTTTACTATGGACATTTTTTAGGAATTAACATGTGGAAATGTCAAAGCTCGACGTTGGTATAAACGAGTAGAATGAAAAAAAGAGAAAAAGCAGAAGAATGTGAATCAAACGAAGTTTTTGCTACTTTCATTGTACTTTCACAAGAAAGTGATCTAAATCCCATAATATTTGCATAAAAACAATATAAAAAGATAAAAATATGAGACAAAGAAAGTTGAACAAGAAAGACACACTGTATAGTGATGTCGCTAGAAATTTTAACATGAAAAGACGTCCATTGGGGTGCGACTATGGGGTGTACGTGCAGGTATGACGATGGGTGGATGCGACTATGGGTGTTATTGTGGATATGAAAATCTTCGCTTCATTATCATCTCACCCACATCCATATCCACATCCTGTTCGATTTAATTAGTGTGTGACTGTGATATTAAGAGAACAATCTCAGCTACATCTCTTCGCATATATGCATGTACTGTCAGAAGAGTACGCAAACACCTGTTTTATAAAATGCATAGATCCTATGAAATCATTACAGGTTAAATGATTATTTCTTCTTCTGCACTTTTGAAGAGAAACTAAAAATCGATAAAAAAGATCAATTTTTCATATTGTTGCACTTTAAACAGACGTACGCCTAGATAAAACGATATCATGGAAATATTCTGACCACATTAGTAGTAGGTACCTCCATGATATTTCTACCGCTTGATGAAATATGTTTCTTTCAACTTATTTCTTTCAACTCAATGTGATGAAGTCGAAAGTGGTATCTGTCACCGACGGAAATATTTTCTATGTCTAAAATTTTGAGATTCTGATCAGCCTAGAAGATGTGTGTCTATGTGAATATGTACGTACCAGTTTGTAGGAATGATTGAGTAACAGACTCAAATTCACATCTCACATACGCGAACCCATCGAGACGCACTCACTGGCCCGAACACGCTTACTGCTAGAAGTGAGGTCTTGAAAGGGTGTGAGTGTTGGTGTATTTTCAGTCACAGCCATACTCACAAATAATTAAGATATTGGCTGTGGTGCAGAAAATGCATGTTGTTTTCAAGCGTTTTTTTGTCACAGTCATTTTCATTGAGCTTACTTCTCGGACGATTCATTTTTCAGACTAAGTCGACATACGCAGTTTGATGGCTATTTTCGACGGCAACAAGAAGAGCTTCTCGAACAACACTGCGAACATACTAAAATTGATATATAAACGGTGACAAAATGGAATCTAGCTAGGAATAATAGTTGGAAAAAACGATGCATACAAGAAATGATGATTGATTTGTTTTTTTTTCAAGCGATACATTTGAGAGTAGAAATGTTTAAGAACAATTTTGCAAATTCATATTACAAGAAATAGTTTATCTTGTATCGCAACTAAAACAAAGGCATCAAGAATTCATTCAGGAAATACGTAATAATAAACAATTACAGATCCAATAGGATGAGAGCTGGAGTTCTATTATGTGATACACACGATTCTTTCGGGTTCGTCTGAATTTTCTTCAAGGCAAGCTTTATTTCATGACCTCTTACTGACTAAATTCGACCAACCGTTAGCGATCGTAGAAAAACTATTTCAAGATATAACTGAGCAACTTTAAAATATATTGTACTAATTCACAGCAAAAAATGGAGGATAGCTCAAGAAAAAATAGCTGTACTATATTCATTCTCAAGTTGGTATTCAAGCCAATGACTCATGAATGTTGGGGTCCTCATAAAAAGTCCTTGCCGAATAATTTATCTCAAAGATATTGTCACAACGGATCTGAGCATGTTTATCTTGCTACACACTGTCGATCAGTCAGTGTAGGATTATTGGAACGTTATCGAATGGATTGTCAGAAGAAGTGAGTTCTGACAGAATCAAAATTTTCGGAGTAGTTTTGTCCTGATGTATTACAACGTTGTAGTGAGATATTCTCCTGTGAAATGTTGCAGGAGAAAATCACAAAACTTTACCGTAATGAAAAGAAAAGTATCATAAGCTGGAAGGTTGCATAACATACAGCAATCGATAACGCTAACAGAAAAAAGATCGTCAATAAAAAAAGAACATGTTCTTCTCCGAAAGACTTATTGAACAAATCAATGATGTTCGAAAAACTCCTACTAAAATCATGCAATTTATAATAAAACTTTACAGTAACACAAGTAAAAAAAAGTAACAGAAACATGACTATGACTAAGTAGAAAATTTCTCACCAAGAATCTTCGATACACATTTCGAACAGTCTTGATGATTCATAAGCTTCTTGGGTAGTTGCTTCCCTTGGATGAAGCGTACCGCAGAATACTTTCCGATCATTGACATACATTAATTGAATAATTTCTTCATGAATGATATCTGATTGTTCATCCTAATGAGATATAGAATAATATATTTACATATAGCATATTCAAAAGTATTCATCAATGGAAGAGCCATCACTCTAAATTTAATAACTCTGCTATATTCAAATTAATTGTTTTGTAGCTTCCACCAAAACCTAGCTTTACACTTCTAGATTATTTGCAGAAAATATTAGCACTTGTACCATCACTCGATTTCTTATATCGAAATATTCATGCATGTTTTTTACTTGTTGAAATGAATTGTAAATCAAACGAAAACAGAAAATTTTATAAGACATCGTCTAAACCTATTTCGTACTTACACAAATCATGTATAAAAAGGTTTCAGCTCACAGTAAATTGCTGATAGAGGCCTAGACGAATTAATATGTACCTGTTTTCATTACGACAGCAATGATAAAAAAATGGAAAGCAAAAACAGAAAAAAAATGCATTCCTTGTTTTTTTGATACACATTTACAGATGAAAACGAAATACAAGGAAGAATATTTTTATTTGGTGTAGTTTTTCACTAATTTAGTTATTAGGATGTCTTTTTGTACCTTTGAGTGATTTTAGTCACTGAAAATCAATAAAGAGAGATCATTCAAATCTATCGAAAATTGTCCAAAACAAAGTAAAATTATCAGCGTTCATGAAAGCCAGAAGAAATCGGCTAATATTTTGAATCGAACTTAAATTTATCGAAATGACTAGAAAATTCTTTATTCGAGTTTCTATAGAACATGAAATGAAAGTTTGATATACCAATGTAAATTTTTACCTGTCTGTTAGAAAAGTCATGAAGATTAGATAATTTCGAATGAATATTTAAGAAAAGCAGTTCTTTTGACTTAAACAACTGATAGTGATTTTAAAAAATTTATGTTTTTACGGAAAAATTAGATATAAATTTATTAGGAACATCGTGAGAGAAAAACATTGAACTTCCTGTTCTTTTTAATGATCCTTGCTTACCATGTACGACAAATTCATTTGAATAGTTCGAATTCCTCCAGTAAGTGTACCATTCATTGTGAAATAATCAAAGTTATCTTCACCACATCCTACCAATGTCCTGGTGTATCGATTAAAAATAAAGCTGTAGTAACATGAATCTTGCCACAAGTCATCAAAACCACGACGGTATTTTCAAACACCAGATTCAAAAACGCTTTCTTGACATTTTTTGTCTTCCTCATCAGTTTTCTAGAATAATCAAAGTAAGGGTATAAATAAAGTTATTTTTTCATTTGCTGTAGAGCCCAAATTAGGCTATTGAATAATTTTTTTTTTATAAAAGATTATTGATGTCTCCAACGTAGTTTTTAATGTAAAGTACGTCTAATTTCGAAGTATAGCAGATCTCATCACGGTATCACACTACACATTCTAGCTGCATCTTATATGAAAATCTTAGCAAAATAACAAAAATGTGAACAAAATTCAATAAAATTTTCGAAAAACCTCCAAAACAAAAACCAAAGCAATGCTCAGTGAACTATCCGTATCAAATCCTTTCTGATGGTAGATAATTGTATGTCATATTTTGCATTATGATAGAGATTTTACGTAGAATAAATCAAATCTTGTATAGCTCAAGGAAACAAATTATGATTCATTTGTTCCTTTGCCTTCAACATATGAACCTGTCATGTTGAGAGAGAGGAGAGATTTGTTTTGATGCTTTTATAGTGTTTGACTTTCATTTGATTCGGATTGTCGTTTGAATTAGGTTGAGGATCGTCATTATGTCGACTTTTACCGAGAAGTTTACTAACAAGCGCAATATAGAAAGTAATATCTCCCGTATTTTGATTGAATTCATCGTGTAACTCTTTAAATTTGGCAAGGTGTTCTTTGTCGTTCCAAGCACGTTTGAAGAGACCAGCTGTGCCGATATATACGTCACAGCTCGCTGCTCTTCCTCTTTCCTCTTTCCTCTTTCTCTCTCTATTGTTCTATCTGTGTCGTCTCTCTCCCTTTGTTTCTGTATCATATATAAGCGTGTGTTGAATGTGAAATAGACACACTCTGGATATGTGAAGTAGCTGAATAAACATCATTGCCGAGAGTGGCACAAACTACTCCAATCCAGTTTGTCGTTACACCAGCTTTGCTATATTCGGAGATAAATGCCAAACATTTTTGAAGAAAATTCTCAAAATCTTGTAATGCTTGTTCGATTGAACCAGTGGATCTAACGAGGAACTATTCTTTTTGTAAAAAAATTGCTTCATTGATCATTTCGTTTACTTAATCGTAAGCATTGGTCGTTACTATCTTTTATTCTTCTTACCGTTTCTCGAATCTCTTTGGCACTTGTGAAAATAGTCTTAACTAACGATGGAACACATTTCGAACCCAAATTTAAAGCAGTTTTTGAAGCATCAAAAGCAACTTTAGTAGCAACAACAGCCATGTATTTGCCATATAAAATACAATAGATGTTAAACTTGACTTTGTGCTATCAATGAAACAATACTGAGAGAAAAATCACACAATATGGATTTTTCCCATTTTTGACAATATTTTTTCAATCAGTTCTGCTGACAACTAATGTGCGAGTCGATAGTGATTGAAACTTACACGTAAAATTTGTTAAAACACGTCATCGGCATGAGTTCTTCTCACAAAAGAGACTCAATCATCAACTGACGGCAGATTGGAAGAAAAAAATTTTTGATTTCGCTATCATGTCACATAGGAAGCTCATCTGAAAAAACACAAGCTCTTTATTTTTCATTCGTTCGTTTCTTTATTACTTAAGAAACGTATTCTTGTATTTTGTCGGTTCTTTAATTTTGTTTTTGCTAATAAAACAATAAAATAAACGGGCACCGTCGCAATTACATAATAAGAAATACACAGTACTTGTAGATTAAAGCTCTCAAAAGCTAATATTTTCAATAATCAATATCCGATATTTCGTCTGCTGTTGTTGTCTTTTGAGATCAAACGACCGAGCAAGTGAAGCAATGACTAATTTCGAATATTTTCCAAAACTTGAAAAAAAACTGCATCGTTACCTGAAAAGCAATCTGAGAAAATTATGAAATATTAATAAGAAGGTTAAAAAATTCACTTCAAGTCAAGTTTCCTTTGCTGTGTTGATTCAATGCCGTGCACTTAATAGATGAATCAACTGCTGTCTTGAGAATACCGATCTGATATAGTTTCGAAAGAAAAGTCTCTAAACAATTAAACGACATGTTTTCAACAGTTACTTGAGTTGTCAATAATAGGTACGTGAAGAATCTTAACAACTTAAATAAGTAAAACATATATTGAAAGTATCATAATAGTACTATATTCATAACAATACACCACTCAATCTTAAACTAGCTTGTATTTTCAACTATTTTAGGTTTAAAGAAGAATCAGTTTTGACATAAGAATTTTATTATTGACAAATACTTTTCTCAAACAAATTGGCATATACATAATAATAGACAATGCACAATGTATCTCGTTTCTATCGATAATTTTTCACGACTACCATAAAATAAGTTACAAAGGATAATATCTAGCAAGTAACATGATCACTTTTATCTTTTGAAGAACATTATAATCGTTTCAAACATATTCCAAAAGAAAATTTTTATTCAATCTCATTGAATTCGCCTGGAACCATAGAATATGGATGTGGATGTGAGTATGGGTCTGAATAGTACATTCACCATGTCCATGCTCATACCTAACTGTTTAAAATTTATTTACATTTTGTATTCCGATAGACTTTTGAGACGTGTTACATTTGATGCAAAAGAATCGTACTTGTTAATGTTATAACGCAAGTTTATTTCGAGTTCTTGAATAAAATAAATACAAAGAATATTTACAACAAATTTGAATCACATTCTGCAAGTTTTAGTACTTTAATAGAACAGCTTTTTCCATCAATAAGCATGTCAACATCTTCTATTTCTTTTATTCGAAAAACTGTGAATGGAATAATTAATACTTCTTTTCCCTCTGAAAAAATACTCAGCTCTTCAATATAAAGACTAGTTTGAGGATTTTTTACTTTATAGATACACAGGACTGGTTGTTTTTTGTTGTCGTTGATTGGAATGAAACGTTTAGCCATATTTTCATCATACGATGTGGAAAGAAATGTGCGAGTCATAACGATATCGTTTATTTTATATTCTATAAGATCGTCTTGTGAAATACTCATTCCACGGTAAGTGGTGATATTAGTGCGATAGTAAGGCTTGAAAAAGGAGTGATTGATAAGAATAGCAGCAAATATATGTCCACCAAGACTCTTTGGAGCTTCATTATCCAAATAACCCGAATTAAATAGATTTTGAGTGCTAATAAAACGAAAGTTTGAACCAACTTCGGCTAAATCATAATTTAAGACAGTACAAAAGCCAGTTCCACCACTAGTATAAGCAGCAATTAATCCTGCAGGTTGCTCCCATTCAATAGTAAGTTGTAAATAATCTTTTATTTCGTCTTTGCATTTTTCACTAGAAAATTTAATTTTCTCTATGTAGCCAATATCAATTTCATCAAGTAGTTTTTTTAATGGAACCTTCAGAAACCATTGCTTCATATGTTCACGATTTTCATAAGAAATTCTATAAGCATTCTTGTAAGAATCAAACCATTCAACTTCAGTTGTTGTAGCTACAAAATGTTTTGAATCTGATTTCGATCTCTCCTTGTATTTGAAAAGATCTTTGATTTCATCGTTTACTGCTGCTTGCTCAGCAGTTAATCCTTCTTTATTTTGAATTGTTTGAGAAGCATGATATCGCAATAATAGTTGCACGAGTTCAATGTAACCTCTAGAGCATGCAATATGAAGAGCTGTGTCCCCATTAGGATCGATTTGATTGATGAAAGAAGGCTTAATAGTCTTACGAACATTTTTCAAATCATTATTCAAACAAGACAAGTAGAAGGCGTTCGATTGACAAGATAATAAATCTGTCATAATTACGTTACCAGATCAAAAACTAAAAAACTAACTACTTTCGACTCATGTTAATATCAATAACTCTTGCAAAGAAAAATAACTAAGCAGTAAATACTATTACATTCATATAAAGTTATAATGAAAAACAATGCAGATTTTACATTTTTGATAAGCACTAGTCAAGGAAAGATTACATTATTGTACAGGTACAAAGAATCTCGTCAAAGAGAATTTACATTGGTCAAAATAAAAACAAATCCTTTTAAAAGATGATTTCACAATATCCGATGCACTTTTCACTGTCGCTACTTATCGGTAAAAGTCGGGCAATAAAATGTATTTTATTTAAGATATTCACATATGAGAAGGCAGTTTTCGTAGTAATGTAGAACACTGAAATCGAATAATGGGACGTTTTTCAATACGCAACAGGTATTTTTAACATGTGCTCTTTAAAAAGAACACATCCACTGTATTAAATTTTTCTCCATGTCATGGAATCTAATTTTTACTCCTATTCTTTTACGTGATGAACTACGAGACTTTGTTTTCAATTTTTGTACAATGAATGAATTAATTTTCTAAATTAAAATGAAAGTAATAGTATCAAAAATGAAAATAATAAAAAAAGCACGATGACAGGAAAAAAATCGAAACAAAATTGTTCTGCTCCGACAAAGAACTAAATTACTGAAAAGTAGGATGTGGGTGTGGATGTAGCTATCATCTTCATCCACACCGATAAAAAAAATTTAGTTCAATCAAAAACAAAACTGACGCAGACAAAATTTTGATCTTCATAAATGTTTTGTTTTTTTTTTGACGAAAAATTTCTACTATAATGAATATATTTGAACAGTTTCCCATTAAATACTTGAAAAGATCATAAATTTTGTAGAAGTTACAGAACCGTTTAAAAAAATCTTCAATCTAATTGCCTCAAGTTTTACGGAGATAAGATTTTGTTCATTATTAATTAATAAATAATCATTAGACAATCAGTAAACAAATCAAATGTTGTGAGAAAATCACTAAAAGCTGGGAAAAACTACCAAATCCAGAATTTGTCTTGATTTCACAGAAGATCCGGTAACTATAGCTTGAATACATGAATGTTAAGATCCTGTCAATGTAATTTGATTTCACTTCAAAATAATTTTGGAATAATATGTTTCTTAACTAGGAAGATATTATTTTATATATTTTGAGATGCTATAATTTTCATTTAATGATAAATTTAAATATAGTTTCAAGCTGTTGGATAATAGTAATTGATTGAGTTTTGCTGGATCAAAATCAAGTTGTTTACAAATCATTTGTTTGACAGCGAATTTCCTTGAAATTATTGATTGATTTGCTCATGGACATGGATACTTCTCTATCAAAGCCTGGACTCTTCTTTCATATTCGGTTTTGTATCGATTGTGCAACTCTTTTGCTGCTAGGTTTTTCATATAATATGTTTCAATAGCTTCTGGCTCGTCAATTATGTTTACATTTTGTTGTGTCCATTTCATCATACTAGTGATCGGCCTCCATTCATCACGCAAGATTCACCACTGAATTCTCGTTTTGATGGATTATTAGAAAAGAGTAGGTGGTAAATGTTTGTTAATAATATCCATTGTGACGGTTGAAAACGAAATTCTCAAAGTATTGTTATACGTACTTCATAAGAATCATACTTATATAGTTCCCACTGCAGTAACAAATATCCAGTTACATCAAATTTTTTGACGCTTTTTCTAATCCCGAATTCTGATAAGAAAAGTATGATCGAACGTTGAGATCGGTTATCAACATTTTTAATTCTGTCGATTGTCTTTTCCGAGCCTGGGAACAATCCTCCATGACAGTAAATGAAAAACAAAACTAATACCATCTTTCTAGATGCAGCTAAACAATGGCGAAGATGATTTTTGTGAAGTCAATAATAATCAATGATAGAGAGCTCTATTTTCCAAACGGTGATGACAATATATATATATATATAATTATATATACCTGAACGACCTGGAAAAATCCAAACCAATGAAGAAAATACTTGAATCACTTCAAGACAAGAGAATGTCTGAGAAAATATCTGAAAATGAAGGATAAAGAAGAAAGGACCTGTAAGTGACCGGTACACTAAGTTAACAAAAATGAAAATAACAGCGAAAGGCAACATAGGCGCTATTAATACAATAGAACTTTTATTATATCTAGATTTTCCTTTTAAAATTTATATAAAATGCTCGTACTTGATATTTATATTAGAATCAGAAAAAAAACAAATGACAGCACATTTCTTAATGTAAAATTCAATTTTTATGTCTCCATCACTTTACAGCAAAAGGAAGACTATAAATCAAGAAAAGTAAGCTTTACCAATATAACAATTTTCATAACAATCTAATGTCACGACTTAGTCATGTTTTTTATTTCCCGTTAGTAATAGTGACACATAAGGAGGTAAAAAGCAAACTATATGTGATTGTTATTGAATGATTTCTATTTTGTTTTTATTCGTTTTGAATTCAAAATAAAATACACATATGGAAATCGTCACTGTTCAGAAATGCATTAAAGACTTAACGTATAGACTAAATGAAGGGGGAGCGATCCACTCTATAAAACAGACGTGCAGTATCTGTCACTAAAATGAAAAATTTTCCTAACTGCCAAAATAAAAATCGATTTTTTTTGTTTAGTTTGTACCATCAAAAGAAATGAAAGGAAAAAGTCTTCCTTAACAACGCATACCAAGTTATATTTCGAAAAAGACTAGTTTTTATCAACTACAAATTAGTTAAAGTAGTTCTAATTCGAAAGAACAATATACTTTACAGTAAATCAAAAGCAGCTATGTTTTACTTTCTATTGAACTTAAACTAAAAAAGCCGTACACGAAATTTGTGCTCTTATTTCTATAAAGAAACACATTTAGTTTCTCAAATTTTTCCAACTTAAAAATTTTGTATAACCATGTCTTCAACATTTCTCCTAACACACGTTGACTCGTGCAGATAGATTCTATATTTCTGAACACTCATTTCAACGTGAACTACATTCATACAAAAAAAAATCATCATTGTCTCTTAATTGTTCAACTATACTCACTTCAAGCTGAAAATTCAAAAGTTTGATTTGAATTTAAACATTATTATGAAAAACAAAAGAAAATATGTAAGTGTATGATTTCAAGCATACACTAGTCGACGATCTTGCCTCACTTCTTTCCAGATTCTTGTTTTTATTGGTTATCAGACAAGATTCTTTTTAATCATGATGTTCAGGCAAGATTCCTTTTGAGAGGAAAGAAAAAAGATTCTTACCAGAAGTTCAAGACGAGAAGAATCTTGCCTGATTACTCAGAAGTAAAAGAACCAGACAAGAGTGTCAAGATATTCAAGGTTTTTTTAAAATTCAGACAAGAATCTTTTTCTCTTCCTCTCAAAAAGAATCTTGACTGAAGTTCAAGATGACAAGAATCTTGTCATATTCATCAAGAAAACAAGAATCTGGAAAGAACCACAGGAAATTTAAAATTTCTTGAAGTTCAGACAAGTTTCTTTTCCTTTTTCTTTTACAAGATTCTTAGCTGATCTTCAAGATCAATAGCACGTGATGTCTTTGTTCAAATACATGTATAAATATAGACGTATGACCGTTACTTATTCAGTTATAATTATATAAGTGATGTTTTCACTACACTTTGAATAAGTAACTTTTTAAGATAGTCGATCGTATTGAAAACACACCTATCGATTTTTTTTTTCTATTGGATATAGAGAGACGACTGTAATATACAATAATGATAGCAGTGATTTTTTTTTTCAAAGAATTGCATCTGAAATTAACATTTATTTTTTCCTTTGTAGAATTTTTTTGATGGAAATCGATCAAGAAGATTCAAGTAATGTTTTTTTCGGCAATACTATTCCTGGTTTAGATAGTATGAATTTATACTTATAATATTCTTTTTTTCATGCCGCATATTTCCTTTTTTTTAGAGCCAGCGCGGCACACAGTAAAACAGAGACGATGACGAGCACATCGAAAACAAAAACTCTACTCAACTCAATTATCTTTACCTGTCCCAACTGTAGAACAAATTGTAAATAATTTGTTTTGACTACGCCATTTTAATATAAAATCTTAATAGTGTTTCTTTCCTTTTAGGTTGAACAAGATTTATGTTTATCATCTTAATGATGAAAGTTTTCAAGATAATCTAATTATTGATGATGATGATTTCATAATGGTAAACCGAAACTTTTTGTACTTTTATCATCCCTTTTTCTGTTTTTAAGTATTAAATGAAATCAATTTAGGTCATGTGGCACGTGGTTCTTCATTGAATGCAACAGCACGATGTTTAGTTCGTACTGCATATGGTGAAACAGCATCATTTAATGATTTAGCTGCAGGAGGATTTGATCTTCTTTTAAGTAAGATTAATAAAAGACATTCAATCATTATTTTAGTATTTCAAATCTATATTTTCAGCTTTTATTGCTCGAATTCATCAAATAAATGTTGCATCTGTCATTGCAGACAGTCAATCAATCAAGAACTCTTTACAGCAAATGAAACACGACAACAACAAAAAAACCTCCTCGACCAGGTCATCCATTACATTATCAAAACGAGAAATTTCGACAACAGTTCAACCATCATTATTATCGAATAAAGAACATGATGATGATGACGACGACGAACTTTGAAACATAGATTTTTGTGGCTCGTTTTTTCTTTATTTTCTTTAACATTTTTTGTCCTCCTATGAAATTGATGCATATTTTTTGTTGCTTGTTGTGTACTTTTTTGTGCATTTGATTTGAAACTTACAATAAAATATAATAGTAACGAACGGAGATAATCATATTGATGTAAAAACAGCCCTCATCTGTATTGCAAGAATCAATCAGGAACCTCAAGAAAAAGATTCAGGCAAGAATTCAAGAAAACAAGAATCATGCAAGAATTGTAAGAAAAAAGAATCAGCCAAGAAGTCAAGAGTACAAGAATCTTGTCTGGCGACATATTTCTTGCCTCGCCAGGCAAGATTCGGTCTACACGAATCTTGCAGAAAGGCAAGATCTATTTTTTCAGGCAAGAATCTTGTATAGAAGGAATGACAAAAGAATCTTGACTGATAACCAGGAAAAACAAGAATCTGGAAAGAATGATGTCAAGATCGTCGACTAGTGTAGTTTCATTCTCTCTTTTATAATCAGAAATAGTGATTTCAATTCATATGTCAATCAGTTTACATTTTCAATAGACTTTAACAGATTTCAAGAAAGAATGTCTAAGATTGGACTTGTCTTTGCAATATTTTATTTTTATTTTTTCTAATGACTGAGACAATGATATTTGATGTTATTTTATTAGGAATAACAAATTTTCTTTAATAAACATTGTTTCTCTTTGTTAAAAAGTTTATTTCACTGCTGCCTTTTATTTAACTGTACCATAAAATAGTATATCAAACTCAAGTACAAAGAGTGTGTTGAAGTGTTCTAACTTGTGTCCAATGGCGAATACAAATATTGTTTCAAACTTGTAGATAACGGTAGTTGACTGAACTTTTTAAAATCAAAGTGAAGTTCTTTACGAATCATTTGTTTAGCAGCAAATTTCAATGAAGTAGTTGATTGATTAGGTCGTGGACACGAGTATTTCTTCACCATAGCTAAAGCTTTTTCTTCATACTCAGCTCTGTTTTGATCAAACAATTCTTTAGCTTTTGAATTCATCATGCAGTAAGTTTTATCAGCTTCCGGTTGATCAATTACATTCACAAAATGTTTTATCAATCGACTTATATGAAAACTCGGCATCCATTTACTACAGTCACAGGCAGTACAAAAATATGGCTTTGAAACATCGTCGTTTACTGCTGGATGATAAACATATGTTAGTAGTTGCACATCCGGTGTTTTGAAGGGGAATTCTGAAGGTACTATAATACGTACTTTATATGAACCATATTTATATGGATCGGTTCGTGGTAATATATATCCAAATATACAGAATCGATTTAATTTCTCATCATTTCCAGAATTTTCATATTGAAAGTACGATTGAACCTCAGGATTTTTGGTCAAATCTCTTAGTTCACTGATCAGTCGTTTCGAAAAAGCTGAAGAAGCACTCATATAGGAGAAAGAAAAATATGAATAATTACGATTTTAGTTTTCAGTCGTCACTATTTTCTTATTTGCAGCTGAAAGCGTATAAAAATAATGTAAAGGAGAAATTTCCAACATGAATACTTGCGTCACAATCTGACGGCATGGTTGAATGATTATTGCTTTTACACTATGAATAATCACAAGCTGTAACTTGACGATAAACAAACATTTACATGATTAATTATTTTCATATCATGTTTATGTCGTTTTTTTTTCGTTCTAAGTTGAGATAAAATACATACACGTTAACGAGTATGTGCAAATCGTCACCGCATAAAATTGTATTTAGGCCTTAATGTGGGGAGCAGATGACAAGACAATGTTTGATACCAGTTTAATTTTAAAGCATCTACATGAAAAATGTGTAATAATTTCTGATCCACTTCACGTAATATTCTTTTCTTGTATGTTTTTTCAGTAGAGTATGTTGATACTTACAGCATATTTACGAAACATCTAGATTTACTCTACACGAAATTTTCAATTTTCTATCTCTGATAGTCAGAGAGACACAAGTAACCTAAAATTAATAGAAATTTCTCGATTTGTTTTTGCAAACACATGGATGACAATATTATAGTTATTCGATCAATCTCTCACCAGAAGTAACTTTGATTTTTCTGCATATCACTTGTGCGTTCTGTTATTTATTCACGTGGCTATTAATAGAGAAAAATTTGCACGATTTCTGTTTATGTAATGCTCATTACGTGCACAAACAATAAAGCTTACAAACGAATCGCGTAAATAGATCAATTAATTTTTGGTGACTAACTGAATTGATTTATTATTTTTACATTTTTTGTAAAGACAACAAACCCTACTTACATATTTAGAATAATACAAATTTATACTCAATAATTTATATATATCATGCCATATATTGTCGAAAATAATAAAATGTTGATCAGTTGCATTAGGTTTGAAAAATAATGGAAAAATTACCAAATTGATTAAAACAATTGATAGAAAGCGGCAGAAATATCCTCACAGATAAATCAAAAAATTCCTATTATTTTGAGTTATTTGTATCTCTTTGATTGTAAGAGATAAAAAGCTGAAATTCTAATGTAGAGTAGCTCAAGATGTCTAGGTATATGCTGCAAATATCAGTATATTCTACTGAAAAAACATATAAGAAAAAAAAATTACTTGAAAGATATTATAACATATTACACACCCTTTATCCTCTATCTAATTTCGTCATTCGTAATCAATACACGTGAGAGTTGGCGCCAGACATTTTTTAAAAACGGTATTTGAAATAAATTTCATTTTAACAGGTGGATTAGATGTAATTGCCGATCTTTATCAACTATGCTCTTCTCAACTATTTAGTTTTCTTTTCAAAATAAAGTATATCATTATTTTTTTTGATTAATGCGTAGTCTAATCTCATTTCTATAACAAAATAACAGCATTATATGTAATAAGTACAGCTCTACATTTGTATATAAAACATTAGTCTTGTATAAAGGCTTTCATCTATAGAAATTTTTAAAATACGACATACTCAAAAGCTGGCACAGTTCGTCACTTAGTTGTTGTGTATGTTTATGGAAGGATAAGATATACTTACATATGAGTTATATAAACATGTTATATGATTATATGTGTGACACT